TTCGCTTTTGTGCGAATGACATGGCTATCGGAATGTGCTAAAAAAGGTTGACTTTTTCGCGTTTAATTGTGTCAGTATAATAAACAGTTTTGGCTCCTCCCCTCTCCTCTCCCATTGATATTCTTTGTTTTCATATCTGTGTGTGCATATCTCTGCGAAACATTGTGTAGCCCGCGTGTGCGGCGATGTATATTCCATAGTTCGCTCGATGGCGCGGACCCATTTTCGTTAAAGGCGCGCACACGTTATCGTGTTATCAGCGATAACTAAAATGCCATTTTCTACGTGCCTGCATCTTGATAAAGCATCCGACGGCAGGCGGCATGTTGCACGAGCGGCGGTAACGTGCAATTTTTGTCTCGCAAAATAATTTCTACGAAAGATCGTGACGGTCCGCGAGCGACTCGAAAGCCGGCAATTTTGTTACACCGCGCGCAACACCGTTCTCCTTCCGTTTTCGTGATCGCGCTTGATGGTGTCATGGAGGACTACCTCCCTCAAGTACACACAGAGAAAGAACATCCCTCAGCGAGATCGTATCAGGTTGGCGCAATATAATACAATAAACACTTAGGGATCTTCTTTCGAGTTTTTTAACAATTGTTATTATTTATTAAATAACAAAAGTCGCAATTATAGGTGCACCGACTTAATAAATTAAATGTGCAAGATACACAAGCAAATTTTTTTTATCAATATCTTTCAAATTGTATATACAAATTGTACAGATTTGAATTTAATTTCCAATTATAATTATGTATTTTAACTTACAATTTGAAAAATTATATTTTGCGCGCGTATATCCAGGCTCTCTTAGTAGCTCCTTGTTGTTCTTTTTTGTACAGTTGATCGCTATCTTTTCTTCGTATACATTTCTATATATTTTATACTTATTTTATACACATTTTTTTAGCAATAATAACTTTCTTGTTTTGTATGTGTATTTCGGACAAGATAGAATATAAAAATAATCTCTTTTGTTTTGTACCGCACCACTCGCTTAAATAATATATGCCTCGACACGTTTCCTCATTAAAGTTCGTACTCGTTTTAAAATGCCAGACATGTTGCCGCGTCAAGAGAGATAAGAAACTAAGTGACGTGGCAATCGTTAACCGAAGACAACACACTCTAGATAACTGTCTTACAATAACGTGTCTTAAATGTAAATTCGCGGAAAGTGCTAAAAGTATTACATAATGTATTTTTGATTAGCAACGGCGACATCTGTTTAATGTAATAATTTGTTGATGTTCTTTCACAGGTTTCTGTTCCGCGAGTTTTATCTCTTCGTAAAATCTCTCGCAAAACGACGAGAGAATGAGAGAGAGAAAAAAAGAAAGATGACTCTTTTAGCGGCTGGAAATTGAACTTTCCAGAGTTATTTAATAGAAAGAGAGAGACAGAGAAAGAGAGAGAGAGAGAGAGAGAGAGAGAGAGAGAGAGAGAGAGTTGACCTTAATCTTAAAGGATTATTACTTACTTCGAACCTGTCTACACTCGACCACTCTTAGTATTTCTCCGTTTTTTCCATCTTAATCTCGAAAATATATTAAAAAATATAAAAAAAAAAATGTAATACTTTTACTACATCTCTAACGCACTTAGACTTGATTAAAAATATATATATATGTGTTTAATTAAACATATAATTATATATATTATATATACGTGTATATATATGACATCGCGGTAAATTTGCGCAATAATTCTGTGACGTTTTCCGGAGAGTTCCCGGAGACCGAAAGCTCATTACGATTTAAATAAGTGCGTCGTCGCAAAGTGCGCTTCCACCTCCCTTCCCTCCCCCCCTCCCTCCCTCTTCTCTTCGTCTTTCAGTATAGATACATCATAGTGACTTCCACACACGGGCGCTATTTACAATTCTTTTCAACAAATCTTTACGGCTTGCACCGACCTACTTTCGTCATCAGCCTCCGGCACACATCTCGGCGAAATACTACACACACGTACCATACGTGCACACATACATGCGCACGTTACCTATATACCGGTAGGTTGACATTATCCCGAGCACTTTAGCAGGCTGACGAAGTAGGCCGACTGAAAATCTCATGCAATGTGTTTAAAGTGCTGAATTATACATGATATATTTAATAGCGATTGGTTAATAAATAACCTCTCAATTAATTGATTAACGAGATTCATACGCCAACAAGTTGGGGATAATTTAAAACGATTGTCTTTTCGATTTTGTCAAATATCTGAAAACAAAATTTTTTTCGCGACACCGAAATTGTGTAATATATATAGATGTATTTTAAAAACAATTGCTCGCGCGATCGAATTTCGAAGTTACTCGACATAATTCAGCTGGGAACGTTTTCACAAAGCTGTCTGTTATAAATTGTGCGAAACGTGTACATGTACGTGATATAGCCGAGTGACGGGAATAGTGCGCCTTAGCGCGGTACTAATTATCACTTGTCAAGTGCGCGATAACGAACACTTCATGACGTCACGGCTGCAATCTTCGTCGTTGCCATTAGCAGTAATCGCGCGTAATTGAACCTCGATAATCACTCGATTCTCAAATTAAATTTAAGATGATTTATCATTATTATCATCGTTATTGTCACCATCATCATCATCATCATCATCATCGCGCGTCATTCTTCGAACGGTTAGCAATGTCGCGTCATCGCCGAACTTTCGACGTTCGCGAGACTTAACTAATCCCTGAAAGAAAGAAGTTTTAAGATATCTTCTCCGAACAACATCGAAATTGCTAAAGCAATTTCCCCGTCAATTCTGAGACAGGATATAAGTTACCGTATACATATCGGGTGTCTGTGAAAAATTTTTACACAGAAGCGCGAAAATAGATTGGGTCAACCCGAACAGAAAGGTTATTTTCCACTTTGCAAACTTTGCAATATTTATTAATTGATGTATGCCGAGTATAATTGATGTACGCCGAGCGCGTGGGAAGCGACCGGGTTCGAACTCTAGACTATAGTGTATGATTTTCAGTTATAAAAAAGACTGAGATTTATCTCCCGCAATATTCTAGCAACCGGAGACGAAGCAAACAGGCGAGCGGCGTGTGATACGTAGCTTCTTGCGATCAGTTGATTTTTCATGACGGCACAAATGAAAATCGTATACGCCTACACACACCGCGGACCATCGCTTCCCACGCGCGCGCTCATTGATTCGCATTAATTAATTAATAAACTCGATAAATACCGCGATTTTTGCAAAATGGCAAATGAATTTTCAGATTATGTGACTCTTTGGCTTTGTCAACATTATTCAGACATCTCGCGCATGTTATATTTCACGCGTGGCAATAAGAGAAAATAGTGATTCTCGCGCGCAAAAACCTGCTGACGACTGAGAAAAAAAAAAAGCGGGTTGAATGAAAGCGAGCCGTTGGGATAATCTCAATTGAAAGTCTGTCACTGCGAAAGCTTATCCTTCGAGATTCACGATCTTATGAATACATGCATGAGCGCGTGTGTATTTGCGTCGCGCGTCGTATTTTCATATTCGCGCGGCTATTTCCTTATTTTCGCGCAAGTTAATTAACATTTTATACCAATTCTGAATTCTACAAGTCTTTTCCCGTCCTTTGCGAAACTTTTTTAAAATTTTGTATGAAAAATAAATTTACAAAAAAAAAAAAAAAACTGTAAAACTGTGTTTTCGTTAAATAAACAACAGGATATATTAGTAGACACCTGACACAGAAGAGATGTCAGAAATTTTCGCAGAAATTATTGTTAGTTTTTTGTAAAAGTTTTATAATATTTTAAAATCAAATAAAACGCGTCGGACACGACAAGATTTATTTTTAGAGTTGCGAACAAAAAAAAAAAAAAAAAAGGAAATGATTCAGGTTTCGAGAGAACAACATTTTGTTCGATTTAATTTTTTTTACGAGAACATTGTATCCCAGTTTTACAACGTGACGTTAAAACGCGTTTTACAGGCTGCACGTTATCCTCTTGAGCGCGCTTATACTTGGCGTAGCCGGTGTAAAACGGGACGGGCGATAAATAATTTTATTGTCATAATCTTTCAAAGCGTATTTCATCAAGCACCGGGCCGTTGCTATCGACAGCCTGATTCAGTGCGCATTATGATTAGAGTGGCCGTATTGAAATGAATATTGCAGTAAAATGTATAGAGCGCGACAGCTAAATGCATATTCTACACATCGAAACGGCTGTTAGTTCTCAATTACCGATAACAAATGTTTTTGCCGTTTTGGTGGAAAAAAAAAAAAAAAAAAAAATGAAACCGCAAAAATTTACTTCGGTAGCGATCGTAAAATGGTGGTTCGACGAATCTAAAAAAAGAGTCTGGAATGAGAAGCACATCTTTCAGGTTTGCGCTTCTAACAAGAACGAACTTGAAACGCGATCTCGAAGCTGAAACAAAAGCTCTGCACGATACTCGGTCTTTTCGTAAAAATCCATTGTTGCCGTTGTTCGCTCCAAGTCCAAAGTAATACACAGCAACTCGGATCGGTCGATGTGTCGAACTTTTTAATTGAACTATCTTGTTCCGAACCGGTTCGTCAAGTTTTGCTAAGATCAACTTAGAAGATAAAATTTTTACAACGAGGAAAAAATAAAAAAACATCGCAAACTTTGTTTTGCAGTATAGTGATAGAAAAGAAGTAACCTGTGAAATATTAATAACCTCGGTTAAAGTTACATTATCGCTGTTGCCCGGAAATCGATACTCGAAGGTCGTTTTCCAAGTGTTTTTGCGCTCTTGTTCATATCACGGTATTTGTTGCGCGCACAAGAAGTTGCATAAGAAAAGAACGCTGATATAATGTAATTACATCATTTCTCGCAAAATGAGATGACGATCATTATCGGAATTGACCTTTCTTAGTATGATAAAATGTTACATTTATTAGTTTACGTAATGTTATTTGCGCGATCTTAAATTACTTTTTAAAAAAAAAAAAAAAAAAAAAAAACGAGTGTAAAACTCTACTTTTCGCAATATGTATATTTCAGGAGCAAAGTGGCGGCCGCATTGTTGAACAAGCATTTGCAAATCAACGGGATTTCGGCTGGCCTAACTACTCTCTCGACTGTGGAGCAATCATCACCCGATCCGCAACCGGAGGTGCCGCAGATGACGAGTAGCAGCAAGATGAAAAGAGAACGGAAGGCTGCCAGGACGCTCGGAATTATCATGTCGGCGTTTCTGGCCTGCTGGCTTCCTTTTTTCCTCTGGTGATACATCATTGATACTATTTCCTCGTTCAACATTATTTTATACTCTTTACACGTTTGTTTACAAAAACTAAATTTAAAGTAAAAATAATTTATTTCCCTTTTAAAAAAAAAATAGAGTCATCTTCCGTTTATATATATTTTTCCTTAAATAGCTTAAGAACTTGGTTTAAAAATAGAACATAAAAGTCACGCGCAACAACAACTAGATAGAAATTGCCTCGTGTACGTAAGCATCCATTTATTTGTTCAATAAAGACGTGTCTTTAACGATAAAAACGGTTTGCAGTCGGCGGCAATTAATTTGAATCGAAAACGTATAGATAAATTGTTGTTGAGAGTCTTATTTTACATCGCAGTCGTTCGTTCCGCAAACGACTCTTCATCATTCGCGAAATTGATTTCTCGTCGTGATTTCATTGGTATACCGCTGTTATATTTATACTAGCAGAGCTATCACTTTTCTTATGCTCGAAACGGATCTCTATGCGTTCCCATTATTCTATCGAATAATGCAAACTAATATTCTATTTCTATTTCTCTATTTCTCTCTCTCTCTCTCTCTCTCTCTCTCTCTCTCTCTTTCTTTCTCTCTTTCTTTCTCACTCCCTCATCTCTGACCTCATTACGGGATAAATCCTTGATCCACTTTTCCACTTTCGCCTCCTAAGCTTTTTCGATATTATTTGCATTCATTGTTCGATACGTCATTGCGCGAGGAAGAAATGTCACTCTGCTTTTCAACTCAAATATCTTCCTTGGCCGCTACAATATAGATATACATGTAGATATAACAAGTTTTGTAACGATATATATATGTATATTGTGGCACCCGAGAAAAAATATTCGAGTATATATATACATATATAGTGAGTATATGTATGTGTAAATATACTTTTATATAAATATTATTAAACGTTGCGTTATACTCGTTTGATTATTGATTACCTGTAATAATAAATTTACTGTAGAATTTTCGAGAAAATGCTCGTGAAATAGACAAAGGAAGCAAGTTGTGTAACGAAAAGTAGGTAAAACAAATCAAGCATCACAAACCACGTGTAGAAGTTCGCGGCGGTTGTCTATTATCGTTAAAGAAACGCGATATGGATAAAAGTTTTAGAGGCATTGAACGATGTAACAGTCAATGAGAAATTGCTCCGAAGTGTGTAGAGACTCGGGAAAACCATTCACATATCAGGAAAGAAAGAAAAAGAGCTGACCTTAACCGGTGGTCGTCGTTCTATTTTTAGCTTCTATCGCAGCTAATGCACTATTACGAGACACATAGTTCGATTTGTATCGACCGACGACTGTATAAAGCACGACGTCGGTAAGCGAAATGACAAGCGAAAAATAAATGACGTTAACGGGATAAGTTTATCTGTGCCGATTAATATTGTCGGATCAACGCGCAGTAAGTTTTCCGTTTGAAGAAGTCGAGAGCAATTGCTCGAGAGAACAAGATCCGTATTTGTAATTGTTCGGTTTGAATCCGCGCAACTTCGTGCGGATTCAACTGTGTGCAACAGACGATAAAACGCAATCGGCTTACAAAATCGGCTTTCGGTCTTTTGTCACGCAGGTATCTCATCACGTCGCTGTGCGACTCGTGCGAGAGCAGCGAGGTTGTGGTGGCCGCGGTTTTTTGGGTGGGATATTTCAACAGCGCCCTGAACCCGCTCATCTACGCGTACTTCAACCGCGAGTTCCGCGCGGCGTTTCGCAAGACCCTGGAGAGCTGCTGCCGCGCAATCGGGCCGGTGCACGACCTGCGCATGCAGGTACACCGGAAGCAGGATTTGGTGCACAGCAACGCCTCGTCCGAGATGCACGTCAATAATCAGCTGCGCTGCCACAGCGAGTTGACGAACGTCCACATCGAGGCGTGCATTTAAAGCTTAAACGTGAGGGGAACGTTTTTTTCGGAAAATATTGAAGAAGAGAAATAGAACCGGCGGAGAGATAGACACACGAATGTGTGAGAAATATATTAGACTGATATGAAAAAGAAACATTAATTTTCTTTGTTTTCTTATGTCAAAGAACAATTTAACACAGTAAAATATATATTTTTTTTTTTTCTATAGTACATCGATATTTGAAATATGAAACAAAACTGTAAGATCTAATTCGAGGAAACTTTGATTTCACTCTTGTTGAAAGTATTTTAACGACATACGTGTTACTTTTTTTTTATATCAAGGTAAAGTAAGAGGCAAAACAAACTTCAAAATCAACTCGATAATATAGAAAAGTAAGATATCATTTCTATACCACTATGTTCATGTCTTTCTTTGTGGTCTGTTTCGACTGTTTCCTTCGCGATATACACGTGTGAGATTGAGAAAAAACTGAGTTAAATTTACGTAAAAAAGAAGAGAAAATATTGTAAATATCGGATATATGAAAAAGTTCGTCGTCAAAATTAAAAAAAAAAAAAACGCACACAAACAATATAGACATAAAATATTGAAGATACAGCTAAATACCGAAGATAATTTGCGAAATATGAGTGGTCTCTAAGATTAAACAGGATTTGTACACATGCTTGTTTCGTTCTGCAGTCGACCTATTTTGAGGGAACGTATTCGTCTCAGGAGATCTATTTCTGTAGCGTTCTATCAGGTCCGTAAATAAGGTTCTTGTTCGTTGGCAGATTGATGTTTCGATTCAGTAGTAATATTTTAGCGACGGCCCGATAACGTCGGGACAAACTTACCGGTCAACTATTCGATCCGCGTTGTACGTGAATCTTATTTATTTTTGTTAATTGGCATTGCATTAAGTTTTGATAATATATAGCGTCTTCTAATTAAAATCTCATCGATTCGAAATTAATCGAGCAATAACTTCGATTATTGCTGCTGTTTAATACGTTTCACCGTTTATGAGAAATTGTAAACAAACATTGTAAACACACCAAAAAAATGAGGATTACGGTTATAGAGATTATTATGTTACACGGATATTTCATCCCATTTACACGAAAGAAATCCTTAAAAGACGAAGGAAGAAACATAAAAAGACAGTCCTCCGACCAAAAAGAAGGACTGAAGCGAGTTTAATCGTATAAGATTATAAGGGATCACTTTGTACATAATCACTTTGCGGCGGCACACTTTGTTATAATCAAAGAGACTTACAAGTACGAAATGTTATATATTATACTTACAGAGATGTAAAAAAAAAAAAATAATAATAATATCATTGTAAATACAAATTTATCATTAGTTGGATTAACTTTGTAACATATATAAATGACAAAGCGTATCATATTTATTTCCGTAGGACAAAAGTTGTGTATTAATTTGATAGTTTTACAAACGTATCTCGTTAAATAGAGAATCGCTGAGAAATGCCAAAAATCGAAACAAAAAATATATATACATATATATATATATATATATTACGTAATAAAGCGTATATTTATACACGTGTACAGAGAAAAACATGCGAAAATTGTTATTGTTCTGTTATTCACTACTCGTTAATTATGTTGATGTTTATTTATTACAACAAACGTTGCACAAACATTTGTTTTTTCTTTTTAACTTTCGTGCGTTCCTTTTAGTTTTCAGAATATTTAAAGAGAAGAACTTTATCACTCTAGTCAAAAAAAAGTAAAACAAGTAAGATCAAAATAATGACGTATATATGTGTGTGTGCGTGTGTGTTTATCTCGGAAAGGGTTTGTAGATGCTTGTTAAAATTCTTGCTGTTTCGGGAAACAATAGAAAAAAAAAAACAGCATTAGGTGCTTTCCAGCTGCGTACATACATAGATAACACTGTGTAACACACAGTGTTTGCTAGTGTGAGTGAAACACCCTGACATGCTCTTTCTCGCACTAATAGACACTGTGTCACACAGTGTCGCCTGTGTACGTAAGTGGAGAAAGCACCCATTAAGTTAAACTGCGTGTGTGATAATTACTAATAAACATTACAACAAAAAAAGAAGAGCAAAGTTTATACTTTACTCCTACTTTGCGTGAAATGAAACGTCGTGTGCGCGTAATTTATCCTCATTAGGGTATCTCGACGAAATCTTTTCCGAGATATTAAGAAATTTATATTTTCGAGCAATATCGATGTGCGTGTCTAGTCATAGATGACTTCACGAATGCGTGAAGCACTTTCTCAAAGTGCTTCTTGTTGTTTTCTTCCTTATCCCGTAATTATTTTTATATAGCATCGACTAACAATAAGCGAATTGTACTATAGAATCAAGCGCGGTATACAGTGTGTTTTACATACGTATATATGTATATACATATATATATATAGTTCAGAACGCAGAAACAATCACTAAAAATGTAAGTTACTGATATTATATAATAATAAATTAATAGAAAAATATTGAACTAATGTAACACGTAATATAATGCGTTGTACATAAATCGATGTATACGGAAAAGTCTCGGTCAGTTTGTTCCGCGAGGTGTTTTATGCGCCAGCAACTTTGTACATGTATTCAAATGCGCGACGCAACAGATGTTTAAAACATGTGTATAAAACACTTTTCAGTTGCATACGTTCAATTATCGATTGTCTACGACGGGCCTTTGATAAAAAAAGAAAAAAAAAGAACAAGAACAAGACAAGTGAGAGAGAGAGAGAGAGAGAGAGAGAAACATGTAGTATTTTGAAGACAATAGCGCGCAAATGAAATCACTTAGCATTAAGTGTGTATTGTAAATATAACGTGCGAATATATATCGTGTATGTGTGTGTGTGAAACTTCCATGAACTTTAATGCGAAAATTATTCCGCGACAGATAGCGAGAGAAAGAGAGAGAGAGAGAGAAGTTATCTTGAACGCGTGGTAATTTAACCTAATTCGTCTGGCGGGATTTAATGCGGTTGCACGATCATGGTTTGTCATTATAACGCGGTTTTATAAATCGCGCGATTTCTGTTTAACGGATTAATTTGCCACATGAGACTAATTTGCGAATATTGCTGCAAATTACACAAAATATTGTGAGGTAAATAATCACATATCCAATTTGCGTATACATCTCCACAAATAACTTTTATTGGTTGTATTTAATTAAATATTTTGTACGTGTAATGTTTTTTTTTATATTTGACATTAAACGATTATTTATTGAATCGGCACGACGTAAAGTGTGCAATTTGTATTATATAATGAATACATTTATACAATATATATGCGTATAACCAATTGTAAATAGTTTTTGCTTAGATTAGTTAGATCATAAATTGAAGAATCAAATATGTCTTCAATCATGTTTCTAATAAAGCACATTTTTAGGAATATGTATATAAAAATATATTTTTTAATTGTTTTGTATAATTGTACATTATATATATATATATATATCTAAAATATAAAATATACACATGTATGTATTATATATATACATAATTTTTCTATATACTGCATATTTATTTTTCTTAAGTTTATATATTTTTTTTAGAAGATTTTTCTATTTATATATATATACACGCAGATATTGTTTGTGTTGATTATAAATTTTTTTTTACGATTATCAATTCTCATGCGCGATTACATAATATCGTTAATTAAGCCTTTCGCTACGAAGAGAATGTGTAACAAAAATATAGCTTCTATAAAAGTAAACGATGCGTAGCACCGCGGTAAGAGCCCGTTAGTGCATTCCGCGCGGCGCATGTGTTATAATAATCCACACAGGGTATCGCAATTAATTACAAAAATTGTGAAATGTTGAAACAATATAATAATAGATAGAACCCAACAATAGTTCTTTCGCTCCGTACAACACGAGCAATTTTAGTTGAATGTACCGTAATAGCGGAAGGATCACAGAGAGATTTTTTAATAACGACAGTTTATAATTAAAAGTTGCAGTTTCGTGCATTTGTTGTAAAAAAAAGTTTATATAATACGACGAGGTTTTTGTGTTTGCAAAATTCTGCAAATGTGTGTGCAAGTTTAGATGTCACGCGTGTGTGCGCGTGCGTGTGTATGCGTGTGCGTCGAGGCAACCATCTTTGTCTATTGCGAAGACTATCTTTGAAGAGAAATTGTAAATATCTACCATGTAGAATAATTAATAATACCGTTTTAACAATTTTCGTGTTTTTCTCTCATCGTTCCCTCCCGTTAAATCATTTTCTAGACGCCGCAGATTTTTTTTTTCTAAATTGGAGGTTTTTTTTTTTATGTGAAAATAAATTCCAAAGTGTTTTATACGCGTTCTCGTAACCATAAAATATTATTGCGTCCTTTTATACCAAAAATACGGATTATTGACTAACCTCTATGATAAAAATAAAGTATCGCGAAGAATGTGTGGCGCACGTGTGCTTCATTAAAACTTACGGGTCATAAAAACGACCTCCAGACTTTGCCGTTCTCGCTTTATTACTTCATAATCATCTATTTCGAGAGACTAAAATGTTTGTGTGGGGGGTATGCGCTAATATTTAAATAAAAAATCAATGTTACAACCGATGATGGGAAGAAAAAGTATGTAAATAAGCAGAGATGCGTCAAGATACGTGAGATTAAATACGACACAGGTAAATCATACGTTAACAAATCGGTTGGGCGGGAAGAAGAGAGAAGAATACTCTTTTATCTCTCTCTCTTCTCGTTCGGCTCTTGTTGGTCAGCTGATGGCTCGAGTAAAGACAACACACGCGGCAGACAAGAATCTTTCTTCCCCTTCTTAACAGAATCAATTTGCTTGCTGATGTGCGAGTGGGATTTGTTGTTTTGTCGACAAATAAGTTCATCTTGCTTTTCGAAGGAAGGAAAACGATACCGTACCGACGTTTTATTTCTTCTGTCTACATTCGTTTGACTGTTGCAGATAAATTCGCGGTATAACGTAAAATTGCCCGCGGTTGATAACTGAATCTGAAAAGCGAATTGCTTCAGATTCGCATTTTTACGTCCAGCAGAGATTTTTTTTCCTCCCCGCAGATGTCACGGGAATAATTTTGCGAGTCTAATTCTTGTAGTTAGAAAAAATTTAAAAAAAATATAACAGAATGTAAGAAAAATGTAATGCTAAATGACACGTGTGCGTATAAAATTTTGTTCGGTTGTAACACGCGAGTTTTTGAATTACAATCGGTTTTCTCTCGCGAAAGACGAAATTGAAATTGAACCGCAAAAGCTAACTCGCATAAACCGATTTGTACGTGTCGATTAGATTAACCAGAGACGTGAGTTAGTAATCGAATTACACAAGGTTGTCTCATTGTCATTTATTACCGTGCCAATCAAGGAAATATCAGCGGTGCGCGTGGCAAAGTGTATGTGTCCATATATACGGTTACTGTGACGCGTCTGTATGAAGTTGTTTCGAAGTTGTTCATGCAACACAACGCCTTGAGAGAAGTTTGCACATGTTTCCGCATCCAGATCGCACACACTTGTGCGATGTTAACGTCGTGGACGTTACATGACGCGACGAGACGCGTGGGATGCGCCTATGCGTATCGACTACAAGACCGGAACTTGTTCTCCAAAGACAGCACAATGCGGCAATGACAAAGCGATTGACGAAGGGATCTTATATTGTTCTGGAATAAAAAAAAACTATAAAAATAGAAAAAAAAAAATCGAAGACACTTCACTCGTGTCAACTTTTATGCTCTAGTATCGCGAATGGTGAAAATAAATACAATTAGTTGTTCGCAATTATTTGAAACAGATCGTGTGCGAGAGACAGAAAAACCAACGCAAGTGAAATAGTTGAAATAATTGTGATTCTTCAATGTTTTTCTGTAAAATTGTGAGTAGACTGATGTACGAATTTTCTTTTTTGTCTCGTCTCACGCAGATTTGAAATCAATCTCGCACTTTTACGGTTGGCAACGTCTCGGTGGATTGTCAACGTCGGGAAGAGGATTGCAGGGGTTGTTTTCACTACTGTCGCGCCTCAAGCGGAGGGTGCGGGAAACACAACGACCCTCTTTTTCTCACGAGAGAGGACAGTGCGGTCCGATACGCGACGCCGGCTGAACCGTTGGCACTTGTCCGCGTCCGTCGAACGTCCGTTCTCGGAACGCGGTTGTGCAGGAAAGAATGAATGAAAATGTGTGCGATGCCGTTACACGATGCGTGTTAAATGCGCATCTCAATAAAAACAGTCAGCACGACTCCTCGTTGAACGGTTCGTGAGCGTAAATTCGTTTATAAAAACACGCACGATAAGATTTTGTTAAGTTTTTGTAAAAGAA